TCCTAAAGAAAAGATAAACCCGGGTACATTATCTAAATTCTTGGAGTAATTATAGATATTTGTCGTGAGTCCTCATCAAATTAACAATTCTTGAAAGATTTAAGGGGGCGACTGGGTTTTATTGTGTGAAAACTTTAAAAGCAAAACTCTTCATTTTCATACAATATATAACTTACATTAACTTCAGTGTTTATGCAAAGTTTGAGGGAAATCTACAGTCAAGGTATTTTTGAGATACCGTCTCAAAATACAGGTAATTTTACCGTAGGAATGTATAGGAAAATGTCTATTTTAGCACTTTAAAGCTTATATACAAATACTACAATAGACTTTTTGTTGAAACTACATGTATAATATTTGATGCGTAATACTATATTAAACAATATATGTACATTGTAAGATACATAGTTTTAAAATCATATCGCCATGTTCATTGTTGTTACCAGAGGGGACATCTCAAAATGCCAAACAGTTAAGAAAGTTTCCTGTTTTTATAGAGTACTACAAAATATAACGGCCACAAAGGATTCATATGAAGACGTAATGGAGATATTCTGATTTTTTTTATGTTTTAAAGTTCAAGAGAGATTGCTTATTACTTTTTCTTTAATGACATATTACCACATTTTTTAATAACCTCAGTTTATCATAACGTCAAAAAAAAAAAACACACTGTAACGACGTCAACCTACCTATCAATTGCAAAATTGGTAAAAAAAAAAATCAGTAATATAAATTTGTAATTATATTTCTATACCTTTTATTTCTTATTTTTTTTAAATTCTAATATCTAAGGAGAAAAGTTGCTTTAAAACAGTAAATAAGCTTCATTGCACTATAATGCGCGAAATATTGCGCAATTGAAACCACAGTCAGTCCCCGTAAATAAATAATAAATATACTCTTAAGCTGACTGCAAATCCGGAAAACATAGAAGAAAAAAGTACAGAATACAATATAATGAAACTGAAACTGAATTGTCACTATCATAAAAAATTGAACAAAACTGTTGTTGTACTGTATATACATCCGGTAGCAGCATCACATTCCTCTTCAGCACAGCTACAAGTGAGCTGACAAACTTTACCATATCCAGGGAACGGGCAACGTACAGAACAATTCGGTCCAGAGTATCCTTCCGCACAATCTAACATATAGAAGAAGAAGGTCGTATACATATTAATCATAAGGCTTTAATTCTTGCACTTCCTCTTTCTCTTTAACATACCATGCTTTTACGGTTTAAGTACTAGCGGTATTGTCGGCTTTCAATTAGTATTCAACATGTATTAACTTTTAGGTCATATTTGATCAGAACTGGTATTTTCTATTAACCTGAGGGTATTGTAGGAAATTCCAGTTAGTATTTTATTTTCAGATCTCATAATTTTATGCACTCTTTAATGTGTATTTGCTTTAGAAAGAAATTTTCCTTTCTGTTTTCATACAGCATCTTTGAGAGAACCCATATGATTGTGTTTAAATTATATAAAGCTAAAGAAAGTTAGAGTAATGTCTAATATGTGTGTCTTACCTACACAAGTATTGGTTACCATATCATAAATTTCCCCGAATAAACATTGAGAAACTCTGAAAGATGAAAAACATACAATGTAGGAATACACAGAGACATTAAACAATATAATGTATCAAAATTATTTCTGACTTCAACTTACAAAAAGCTTGTTATGCAAGACACACTAAAGAAAAACATAAATGATAAAGCATTCCATCTTCTCATTATATTGTTTGCAAATACTGACAACGTAATTAATTACAAAAGAATCAATAAAATCTGCAGCATGTTAGTATGATTACATTTGAATGTCAAGCGTTTATTCAGATCGCGTGACTGCAATCCATTATTTCCTTCTTCGCTCAAAAATATAAACAATTACAGTTAAAACAAAATTAAGCATGTTTTGTTTACAATTTATAAGTTAGCGTACTTATGATTTTGTTAAATATCCTGCTAGATGTGCATATTTCTTTAAATCTGAATTAGTTTTTATTTGAGAAAAAGTCACAAATAAACAGATCTTTTTTAAGAATTTTTTTTTCTGGGTTAAGAACGAAAGTTATTCTTCAAACAAATTGACTGCAACATTTAAATGGGTTTATCAGTGTGCCTATTTTGGTAGCCGCGTAGTATCAGAGGAGATAGGCCACTTTTTTTCAGGGATAACTTTTTCCTATAAGGAAAGTTATTGAAAGCCTCATTCTCCCCAACCACACACTTTCTGAGTCACTCAGGTGAACTACATGTATTGTTATCCGTTTTCATACGTTGTCGTGGATCGTGTGTCATGTGTCAACATTTGAACTTTTTCAGTTTTTTCTCTGAAACAACTGAACCAATTTCAACCAAATTTGGTACATAGCATCTATAGGTGAAGGGGAAGAAACTTTTGCATCTTATGGTCTCCGCCCCCTTGGGCCTCAGGGGTGCGACCGAAACGAACAAATTTAATTAAATCTTTGAAAATCTTTTTCTTTACTCCTGGACATCAAGCAGCCAAACTGTTGGCATGAATGTAATAATTATTGAGTCCTCTCATTTACTCTACCAAAATTGTGAAATTCATAGCCCCGGGTCAGGGGTTCTAGTGCTAGGTCGGAGCTACATAGATTATATAGTAAAAATGCATTATTTCTTTAGAGTCGTCTTCTCTGCTCCTGGGTATTTTTAAAATAACCTAACTTAGTAAATAGTTATGAAGAGCAAGAGTGCCTCTTCCAAAATTGTGCATTTTATTGCCTCAGGGCCATGGGTTCTAGTGCTTGGACGGAGCTCTATTGACTATATATTGAAACTGCATTATTTCTTTGAATATCCTCTTTACCGTTCCAATATATCAAATAAACAAACTAAGTACATATTTGTAATGAGCAATTGTGTCTCTTCCAAAATTATGAATTTTATGGCCCCAGGGTCAGGGATTCTGGTGTTAGAACGGGGTCTATTGATGATCTAGTGAAAATGCGTTAAATCTTTGAAAATCTTCTCTGCTTTTGGAAATTAAATTAACAAACTACATGTAAGCGCATAGTTATTTTGAGCAAGAGAGCCTTTCTTCAAAATTTTGAATTTCATTGCCCCAGGGTTAGGATTGTTGTGTAAGGAATGGGCTCTATTGATTATAAAGTGAAAATGCATTAAATCTTTGAAAATCTTCTTCTCTGCACTGGGTATTAAATAAACTGACGTAGTTTATGGTTATAATGAGTGTCTCAACCAAAATTGTAAATTTCATGACCCCTGGGTCACGGGTTTTGCCATTTGGTGTTAGGGTGGGGCTCTATTGATTATATAGTTAATGTACATTAATTCTTTGAAAGTTTTTCCTTTGCTCCTTGGTATTATTCCAAAGGATCTAGGTTTATATATTGATGACGATGAAAGGTGCATATAGCCAAATAGTTAATTCCATGCCCCCTGAGTCATGGGTATTAGGTGGGGGTACATAGTCTGAAAATGAATTAATGCTTTTGAAATCTGCTCCTTGGTATTAATCAACCATTTGTGATAATTTTTTTTATTTTGAAAAATGTGGCCCCAGGGTCAGTGGTTCCTGTGGCGTGGGGTGCACTACTGTTTATAAAGTAGAAGTGCATTTTCTCTTTGTTACTCTGATTTACCTCTGGGTATTAAGTAACTAGAGTAAGCATGCTATAATTATGATAAGTAATGATGCCTCTTTCAAAATTGTGAATTGCATGGCCTCTGGTTTAATACACGAACTAAATTCAATTATTGGAAAGTTGTTACATGATGCCCATGGGCCTCTTGTTTATTGAGATAATATCAAAAGCTATTTTTTTCCTATTTTCGGAAGTATTTCAAAGGGTTTTGTATGGTAAAAAGTTCTAGGTCAATATAAGGTTGTCTACAACAATTTGTTTGTACATATTTTTTCAAGCAAAATACCAATCCTCTATGCTCTCTAATTAAGTACATTAATTGACGAAAAGTATGATTTTCTGGAATATATTACCTCATATGACGTTAATCATTGAGACCTGTAGGAGGATCTAAGGACGGATAATACAAACGTTTTAAGAGACTTAATAACATCTTACAGGCTTAAAAAGTTTGATAATTCTTTGAAATTTTTCTTCTAGTCTTGGAAAATGAAATAGATTTGAAAAATATAAGTTAATACTTCAATAAAATAGTAAATATGAAGAAAAAAAATCATATTGATGTAAGGTTTACAGATGAAAGGGAATTTCAGAATATGTTAGCTTTGTGCTAAAAGTGTAATATAAACTTTACAAAAATATACCAAGCCAGTAAATTTTATGAAGAAACGCAAAATTAAAAAAAAAATAACATAGGCTAATTTTTTTTATACCATTTTTGCTTTCCTCATAAAATTTACCTGACTTGGTGAATTTTTTAAAGGATTATATTACATTTTCATCGCAAGCTTTCACATTCTGAAATTTATTTTTATGTGTAAACCTTACTCAGTGTAATTTATCAATATTTTTTATTTCATTGAAGAGCGTGAGATTTTTTTTATATTGTATGACCCTTTTAGATAGGAGATAGGACAGCGCCCTAAATGATCTTAGTTGTTGTAGGTTTGTTATAGGGTTCAACAAAAACGTGTGTTGTTAACAGCTGGTCTGTGACGTTCTTCGGCATCTTTATTTTCTGTTGCAATGAAAAATGTTCCTTTTCTTAATTGATTTCTTTTCAAGCAACAAAGTTTTAAGTAATGAATTGGAATGTGGAACATTTAAACAATTTCTAAAATGAATTTAACTGAAATTCTCTAGAAATTGTAACTCTTTGGATACATCTGGATGCGGAAAATGTTATCATTAAATGGGTCTCCTTTATACATGATATTTTTCAACTGTTTTAAAAATAGCAATTCCTAGTTCATTGAAATTTATAATAACTATGATTAGAGAACATGTAATTATCATACATCTCATTATGATAACTGATTTAGAACACACCATCTCTTTTAAAAATGGCACACGTTTAATGTAAATTACTAGAATGACAAGATTTCCAAAAATCAACAAAGATCAAGCATATGCACTTCATCAGATAATCAAATAATATATAGCATGTATTTATACTTTCTTAAAAGTACTGAAGTTGGTAGTGCATGTTACCTTAATTATATCATAACATATATTATATATTACTTACATAATTTTAATGTTTAATTAGTCTATTTCGGTAGTACGAATAAAAACAGCAGAATCGCACATATGTTTACTGCAAAGAATACACTTTGAAGTTCTCTTCAGAATCTATGTGTTCGTCTTGTCGAAAATAGTTTGTATTCAATAGCAAAGAAGTCATTCTTATATCCAGTATATATGGCCTTAAATGAGTGATAATTGCATTTTTACACTCTATATACAGTTTTATGGTGCTCTACTGCATGTATTTAGTTTTATTAGAACACTTATTAAACTTATTGAGGTTTTGAACACAAAACAACACAATCTAGCTGTCAAAAATAAGAAATCTCTTTTCATTCGTAAATACGGAATGGAGTATATTTACCACATTTAAATACTGCTTGTAAGTACTAATGCTTAAGTGCATACCCTGTCAGGCGTCAGCTTACAGAAACTAAGCAAGAAAAAGTTACTAGTAACCCTATCAAGCGCTCTGATTAAGAATTAAAGTTCATTTATGTCTTCATAATGAGTTTCATACCCTTCCTCGTGGCTCTTTTGGCAATACTTTCTTTTTGAAAAAATGAACACACCAAACAAAATAGCAAGAATAACCAGTACACTTGATAACACCCCTATTCCTATTTCCCTAGATATATTTTTATGTTCGTTTTCTTGATTACCATTTGTTAATAAATCAGTGCTTTGAAAACTATTCAGCTGTGATGGATGAAGAGTTGAAAGAACATCCACACCAATATGATCCGTTATTTCATATATTTTCGTCTCAGTTTCGGTTTTTCGTCCTAGAGAAAAAATTAACCCAGACACAATATCTTAATCCTAGGAGTTTTTACATATATATATTTCGTGAATCCCCATAAAATTAACAATTCTTGATAGATTTAAATAAATAATAGATATACTCTTAAGCTGACTGAAAATCCGGAAACATTGAAAATCCACAAAAAAGTCTAAAATACCATACACAGATAATGAACTGTCATTGTCATGCTAGAAAATAAACAAAACCAATCGTACTTATACCCATTGTACTGTATATGCATCCGGTAGTAGCATCACATTCCTCTTCAGCACAGCTACAAGTAAGTTGACAAGCTTTACCATATCCAGGGAACGGGCAACGGATAGAACAATTTGGTCCAGAATATCCTTCTGCACATACTAACATATACAAGAATGAGTACGCATGCATAATAATCATTATGAGTCTTTTCTTTCCTCTTTCTTGTTAACATTTTACTTTTACTGTGTTTAAGTATTAGTGGTGTTGTTGACTTTAGTATTCAATTACATGTATTTGATTTTAGGTCTTTTTTTTTTTAGAAGTTCTGTTATTTCTAAAATAACCCGAAGGTATTGTAGCAAATTCCAGTAAGTATTTTTTTTTTCAGAATTCATTATTTGATGCTCTTTTTAATGTGCGATTACTTTTATACGGCATCTTTATAATAACTCATATAATTGTTTTTAGATTATTTAAAGATTAAAACAGGTGGGAGTAATGTCTCATACAAATGACTTACCTACACAAGAATTGGTTGCCATATCATAAATTTCCCCAAATAAACATTGGGAAACTCTGAAAGATGAAAAACATACAATGTAGGCATACATATAGTCATTAAACACCTTTATGTATCATAATACTTTTTTTTAGAATTCTACTTACAAAGAGCTTGTTATGTAAGGCAAACAAAAGACAAACATAAATGATGAAACATTCCACCTTCTCATTATAATGCTTGAAATATTGACAATAAAGATAATGGCAAATAAATCAATAAAACCTGCAGCATGTTATTATGAATAAATTGAACAACAAACGCATATTCCGATCACGTGACTGCAATCTATTATTTCCTGCTAAGCTCAAAATATATAGAAAAAATCACAGTCGTTTAAGCATATTTTGCTTTTTATTTTTAAGTCAGTGTAGTTAATGTATCCTGCTAGATGTACATATGTCTTTAAATTCGTACTGTTATTTTTTTCTACTTGAAATAAAATCACAAAAAGCAGATCTTTTTTTCGGAAGTCATCATTCATATTTAAGAACGATAGTTATACTTTATAAAAATTGCAACATTTTAATAGGTTTATTTGTCTGCCTTAATTTTGATAGGACACTTTTTCAGGCATGACATTTTATTTTAATGACATAGGTACTGAATGCACCCCCAACACACATTTCCTTTTACAACATAATGATATAATGGGACAAAAGTACGTTTGAGAAAGAAGATTTGATCATGAGAAAAAAATGCAATGATAGAATCCTACCATAACAACCAACCTCTCCTTCAAACAAAATCCTCCAAATCCCAAGAAAAAGACATTTTCGAGTTTGTGTAATATTATTTAGTAAGTCTACACTTCTAAATTATCCTCATACCTATGACTTTTCTGACAAACATATCACAGATCAGCGTATTCAAGGGGGATTTCCAAGGTCATATATATTTAACAACTTCGCCCTTCCCCCTTAGATATGCGCATTTTTAAGCTTGAATATACATGGACGATCCATTACAGGTAATTATGACTTGCGAATTGATACTACATTTGCTGATTGATTTTTCATCATTATTTTGATAAACCCTTATATCGGAAAAACACTTTGTTTCTTTTATTGAGGAAATATGAAATTTAATGTTTTCACAGTAACGGAAGTATTTCAATGAGTTTTGTATGGTAAATAATTGAAGGTCAAGTAAAGGTCGTCTAGTAGAATTTGTTTGTACAAGCTATTTTTCATAAACGCAAAATACCAATCCTCGATACCCTCTAATTAAGGACATGCTTATCACATGAAGCAAAGTGAGATATTCTGAAATCTAAATCTTCATATGACGTTCATCATCGAGACATCTAGGAGGTTTAAAGGACAAATGATGCAAACAATTCTTTTTTTTGGGGGGGGGGGGGGGTAACAAGCTTAGAAATTGTGGATATAAATAAGCCTTGAAAATGAAATGGATTTGGAAAATATTACATGTACAGTTGTAGTAAATATTTTAATAAAATAGCGAGTATCGACAAATCATACTCAGTAAAATTTACAGATGAAAACAAATTTCAGAATACATTAGCTCAATGCTAGAAGTGTACTTTATAAACAAAAGTCTACAAAGCCAGTTAAATTTTGTAAGGAAACACAAAATGCAGAAAAAATCATGTAGACTGGTTTTTACCATTTTGCTTTTCCTTAATATAAAATTCAACCGAATTGGTATATTTCTATACTTCAGTCCATTTTATTTTCCAAGACGGGGGAGAAAATATTCAAAGAATTATCTATACTTTTCTAATTAAGTCTCTTCCTAGAAAAAAAAAACATTTGTTTCACTTGTCCTTAAATTAATATATTTTTAACATGGTTTATTTATGGAATATTGATCATATTGAATGTCATTATTTGGACGAACTGCAAGATATACATTAAGAACATAAAATAGATTTTGGAAAACATAAAAAAAGAAAGAAAAAAAAATTAAGCAGATTAAAAAAGTATGCTGAACGGTTAAAGCATAATACCTCGAAAAATATCTTACAACACTGCATTAATGCCAATTTTCTGCTTATATTTTTACTGAAGATGTCATGAAAATGATCTGTTATGTCATGTGTATTTTTTTTTAAAGTTTCATCATCTGAGTTTAGAAAACATCAAATACAATAGAAGAAATAAAGTCATGTCCCTATATGAAAGATTTACGTGCAAGAGAAAAAGGGCATATATCTAATCTAAAGGACAAATAAAAAAATGCAAATGTGATTCTTATTATACAAATTTCCTAACTGGAACGAAACAACAGGCTTTTTTGGTAAAAACAAAAACCGATTCCGGCCTTACAGGTCAGATTGATATTTCTTAATGTACCTGGTATAGAAGTGTGTTTTATATTTTTGGATCCTGAAGACTTCAAATAGCAAATTGAGCTACCAAAATCAATTTTTGGATTATTTATTAGTTTTATTCACATGCAGATATACGTGAACTTCAAAGCTATGTATCGTATCGAAGACAACTCATGGACATACGCAATATACATGTACACGAATTCCACAATGCACCTTTCTCACTGATAATTGTCTCAGACAATCTCAATTTTTAATGATATAACTATCACCTTTTCTTACACAAAGAATCAGCAGTCATTACCAGAAATTTTGAAGTGATATAAAATAATGGAAATGTTTTTTTAATGAACATAAATAAATACTAAGGTACCATTTCCAAAATATGATTCAGAAAAGGTGTGCAGTTTTATTAGGCATCATAAAATTCCAAAAGTTCCTTCAATCATTGAAACTTTTCGATTCAAGTTCAAACTTATAAGTGCATTAATGTCAGCAAAAATAATTACAGCTGTTAATTTGTATTGATTCCTTTCGTCAGAAATTAAACATCGTAATAAAAGAAAACAACAACATCTCTCGATTTATAGGTTGATGTTGATTTCAGTATAATGATAATGGAAAATATTTTTCTGTTTGTTAAGAAAAGTAAGAAAGGTAGACTTGTTTTGGATGTGTAATGAGGTTATCTTTCTTGGCATGGAATTGTGGTGAAGTAGGTCACTTTAATGTGTAGTTCCTTTAATTTCAATAAATACGCGTGATTTAATTTATGTGTTTGTATTTTTTTCAGTAAGTGTATATGAAAAAAACTATACATTAAGAAAACAGACTTATACTAATAACATAATTATTCTTTAATTATATATTGAAGTTTTTTTTTATTCTACAAATTTATTTAACTTATTTTATTTAGTAATTAGTACTGCAAAATAATCTTAAATATCAAAAAATAAAATAAAATAAAAAAATAATTACCTTACATTTTCAATGTAAAACAATGTGTTGATACTTAAGACTATTTTGTCTAAATCGAAACTGTTGACGTATGCTTATCGTTATACACTTTGATGACCGGGGAAAAAAGGAAACTCGTATTTTGACCTGATATTTGGCGGCACATATTAGAATTGTGTTTCTTATTTCTCTTATATTTAAGACACAACGATAATTTAACATTTCTGTTTGTTTTTTTACCTCCTTATTAGGTCCACACTTTGTATCTATAACGCATTGATTAATCAATTAAAACAGACTTAGAAGGGAGTTTACTCAAGCATTTCATGTTTGTGACGTAGCAATCAACAAAGCAAATCATGAATCTTTTTTTTTTACATTGCTCAATATGTACTTTCGTTTTACAGTGTAGTATTGGATGGGGTGCCACAAAATAACAACGATGTTGTGCTCTTCGTAAGTTAATTCTTAATTGCGCAAATAATTATACATGTATTAGTCTGTAAAATTCCATCCTCTCGCCATGCATTACAATTTATAATTTTTTAATTATTAAAAATAAAAAAAAAAGGCGTATAATGATAACAAAAAATGTTCATTCAGGCATATCAATTTAAAAAACCTTTTTTTTTCAAAAATTAGATAATAAGGGTAAATTTGATTTAAAAAAAAATAACAGCTGAATTAAAAAAAAAAAAGAAAATAAGTTTCTTTCAAGACTTCGGCTCGTCACTATATCAATAAATATATAGGCACATGGATACCTGAGTCGACACGTGTACAAAAAGGATTGGTAAGAACTATTTAAAGAAAATAATTTTAGAACAGTTTGATAATAATTACAAGTTTACGATTATAAATTCTCTTTTTCAGGCATTGTTTTTCTTTTGAAAAAGTGTATCAAATAATTTCTACTTAAATATTTTGTACTTCGATATCCTTTGTTCCTTTGTCAATATTTTTGAAAAGCTACTCAGAGGCCCATGGGTCACATCGATCACCTAAGTACATTGGCTAGGTAAAAGCAGAACTCAGGTTAAAATTGAAAAGATGATACTAAGTTAGGGTCAGCCTCCATACAAATATTACTAATGATTGACAGCTGCTCTTAAGCAGAAGAATTTTAGAGATTTGTTATTTTTAATAGTGGATTTCTTTATACAACATTTATTGCATATTGTGCCCCAACCCTACCCACAGAAAACTTTAAAATAAAATAAATATATACTTCATATAAAAGAGATTCAAAATGGCTTAGTTGTTCTTTAGAAGAGAATTTTCTTATAAGATATTTCCTACATTAGATTCTTACAAGGATATATAGTTTTTCTTTTACTCTGACTTAGTTAATGTAATTAATGATTGAAATGATTATTAATGCCAGACGACACGTTCCTCCAAAATATATATTCTTTCCCTAAGAATTTGTTTTAAATTCTGCATACATGTACATGTGTATTTGGTTAAATTTGCAGGGTATATTTGTTTGGTTTATTCCCACTTAGCCAAAATTCTGAAATTCTTATTCCCATCAGGCCAAAATTGGGATTTTCACACCTGAGTGGTCACCTTTGTATAGTCTGTTTTATTACTAATGTCCTGTGGTGAATAAGTTCAATATTAAAATACATATCATAAATACTTGATTTTTATTAGAGCATAATTACTAATTAATTAGGATGTACATAATAATTATTAATAATTCTAAAATACATTCCGGTACATTCATATCAATATCATTTTTAAAAGGAAAAACTAGGATCATATTTTATGTAAAGAGAATTAAAAAAAAATGATTCTCTTAGGAAAAAGTTAAAAAAAAAATTAATCCATCCATTTACAGAGAAATTTTTTTGACATTAATCTAAAATTATTGAATGTATTGGATCATTAGTTAATTTTTTCCGATAAAGAGGATACTCAGGATGAAAAGAAAAAGAATTAAGTTTAAGTTATTTTGCAGAAATATTTGTACTAAATAGGAATTACATATATATCTGTACAAAAAAAAAATAATAAATATTGATCGCAAAAATATATTTATAAAATCTGATTTATATAGTTTACTAGAATTACAAAAAAATGTCCATGCTAAACTTATATGTAATTCTTATATCAATAGGTTTTTTCCCTTTTTCTTCCTATGTTTTGACAGTTGTAGCATTTTATGATGAGAACCTAGTAAGTTGTTAGAACTTGTTTTCAAACCATTTGTATTGTATTTATTCAATAAAATAGGTTCAAACTAATTCATGATGCACAAAAAATGTTTGATTGATGAAATAGAATATCTTTTAGAGAATATCTTGCTTTAACATATTATTCAAACAAAAACAGTTTAATATAAGCATTTTTATTTCTAAAAAGTATATTTAAAAATAACCACTTTTACATAATAATTTATCAGTCATCTTATTCATGTTTTTCCATTAATGTGACATTTTATTTTAATAAATTATTTACTAATTAGAATTATTCGCATTTAGTTTATTGATAAACACATGATTACATTACATAGATTCAAGATTTCAAAGACATTCATATAGTACCGTATCTTTCATTCACATGTATTTTTAAAATTTTTAATAAAATAAATAGTAAAAATGGCATTTATTTATTGAAAATTAAAAAAATCAAATATATTAATAATTTCATATATTAATTTCAGTTACCATTTATTGCAATATCATAATTTAATAAGTAAGTTTTACCCTATTTCTTGTGGTTAATCTTAAACAGACTATAGGTCACCTGTAATAAATTTCTTTTGTTCTCTCCCTCCCTTTACCTGTACACCATTCACACCTAGCCAAAACCAGTCACCTGCAACATTTTTTAGAATTTTGGCTACGTGGGAGGACACCATTTGTTTTTTGTCGTATATTTGATAGGTCTTTTTTTTAAACTGATAAAATTGTTCTTTCCTATTTTTAGGGATTCATCATATGATTGCCAGGAGCCAAAGGAGACAGCAAGAAAATTGCCTTGCTTTAGCTGTTTTACTGCTGTGTTTTCTTTCTTACATGGTATATTTTGGTTATGTGATTATGTGATTTATCTACTTGTAGGTTCTTTTTTCAATAAATATTTATTTCGAAATATCGATATTAATCTTAATTATTTCAGCAGTACAAAAATTGCAACTTGAACAATTCCTTAAAAAATTGTATAATTGCTACATATAAGGAAGGTTTTTTCTTTCTTTTTTTATTAATATCTAATTTGTGTTTATAAATCAAAACGTTTTTATGCTACACTAAATAAAAGTTACAAAAAGAATATACTTTTAAATTTGAAATAAGAACATTTCATTTTCAAATTCAAAGTAAAGAATTAATTCTTATTCATTTCTTTATTAATAATATTTTTTCATTAAAATAACTCCCTCCAAAATAATATAAAATTAGAATACATATCTATTCAAATTTGTTTATGGAAGAATATAAATCGCAAAAATATATATATATATTTTGTGGTTTTAGTCATAGGTTCTTTATAAAACGGTCACAGGTCAAGCCTGAAACAGTTATGACTCTTATATGTTTTATAGGGTGAAAGTAGCAGAAATTGCCCACAGTCAAAAATGACGGTCCAATACGTAAAACGTTGTCCAGGAACACGGAATGAGTGGATGGATGCAGCCGTGAGAAAGAATTGCACAAGCATTTCTCAAGATTGCGTTTAACCAGAACACTTTCAATACCATTGTGTGATTAATTCACTCATGAATGCAACAATGGAAGTGTGTATACCAATTTGGTTTTGTATAGGTATGACCTCATATATTTACAATAACCTACTGAATTATTTCATTTTAAGGGGGATTTCTATAAATTTATTTATATTCTATGTAAGTTTGGTCTTTGGACAGGATTTTGTGCAGAATACAACCTACAAGGAGAAAGAATTCAGGACAATTTCAATGCACCATGTACAACATTCTCAAAACCATGCCCTCCAAGATATCTGTCTTCTGATGCATATTTATGTAAGCTATTGGACGCATGTGTTTATGCGCCCGGGTTGATAGATCAGATGCGTAAATTGTTTTTGTCCTGTCTGTCTGTTCGTCTGTTTATATGTATGTCTGTTTGTTGTCAATTTTAATCTTCGCTATGACTTTTGAACCGTGCGAGAAAGAAACTTCATATTTGTTATGCATACCCACTAGTAAAACCCTTTCAAACGACACTAAGTCACAATGACTTAGTGACCTTGACTGTGACCTTTGTCCTAAAATAACTTTTTTTTAAACTTTGTTGCCACTGGGCGCATTGTGTTTCACAAACACATCTTGTTATTACTCAGAACAGACTAGCATAACTTTCTTATAGTTTTGGTGCTTAAAATGTTAATAAAATGTGAGCCATTGGCATTTTGTACTGTTCAAAAACGTTTGTTAAAGATTAATGTTTTTTTTCGTCAAGAAATCATTCCTACTATTGTTAAATGCTATTTACATGAATGAATCCCCTATACTTATTCATGAAATGAAATGAAAGCAGTCCTTAAACGTTTTATATGACCAAATAGAGTCCCTGAAACGTTCTACTTTCCCATTTTTCCGTTCGCTCACCGTTCGTTCACCGTTCGTTCAGCGTTCGTTCACCGTTCGTTCAGCGTGCGTTCACCGTTCGCTCTTCGTTCACAGTATTGCGTTCACCGTTCACCGTGCGCTCGCGTTCACCGTTCACAAAACGTTCACCGTTCGCTCTTCGTTCCGTTTACTTTGCGTTCACCTTGCGTTCACCGTTCACTTATCGTTCAGTCTTCATTGTCATTCGGAACTCCGAAGTGAAAGGACTTATCTTTTTGATGGTAAGGATTTACATTTTTTTTAATTAAATAACTTAGATAATCGTGTTTAAAGAATAATTATTTCATTGCAAAAATTATCCATGATATTTATATTTCTATAATTATAACTCAGCTGTTACTTATTTCATGAATTTTCTCTGGAAAATAATTAATACATTAAGTACCTACGTGTACATGTATGTAGAACGATGCTAAAATATAAACTTCAAAAAGGGCAATGTACAAATGCTTCACGCACGGCATCAATTTGATGTAATTTTAAGAGGACAAATTATATTTATGGATGTATAATAATTAATCCAAGTCTTTTACAGGACAAGAATACATTAAAAAAATTATTTCTATAGTAACACATATTTAAACAACATGTAGATTTGAGAATCATGAACAGTACTGCAAATATTCAGTTAATTAAATATATTTAGAGCTAATTAAGTTGATGGTGTGGTTTTAAATTTTAGAAATGCCCAACTGTTTAAAATAGTCTATTATTAGAGAAGAAAAATTCCTTCCTTCTCCGTACCTAAACATGATTAAAAAATATCTTTTTGCTATTCAGTATAATTACCCCCCCCCCCCCCCCCCCCGGTGCCTTTTCTCCCAAAATAAAATTCTTATTGAGTTTTTTCAGTATATTTTAATTAATATTTAATTTTTATTGTAACACAAGAAAATCAGTCCTAAAACCAACATCAAACAGTCATTAAACAATAGTATTTTAGTATAAACTTGTGCCGACGGTAGTATTTTAAATTGGCAGGAATATGTTTCACATTCAATTTAAAACTTAATCCTTACAGTATATATTCGAATTATTTTTTTTCTGCAGGAATGCAAAAATCAGATCTAGAAATGATAGGGAAAAATATTAAAATTTCTCGGAATACTAAGTGACTCCTTGCCTTCGGCATGTTCGGTGAAACGCGATTTCCACACCTCCACTGTGTCGAATTATTTTGATTGACAGCACAAGCACGCTACTACAAATATAGCACGGACTTCCTGTGAACTGCTTGAACTTGAAGATGGAAAGTAAAAGCCAATGATTACTGTCAAATGGATTTGTTAATCTAAAAAAAAAAGATTACCTTTATTACCTTTATTGCTTGGAATGTTTAGGAAAAATAATTAGAATTTTTAGTTGATACAACATATATCTGAAAATCTAGGGGGTAATCTCTCTCTCTTTCTTTCTCTCTCTCTCTCTCTCTCTCTCTCTCTCTCTCTCTCTCTCTCGTACATTTCTCTGTTCAATAAAAACTATGACAACACATTACTTATTTAGTTTTGAAAATTTAATCTACACATGTATTACAAATAATTTGAAGGCCTCTTTCCAACATCTTGACCGAGTATAATCACGGCCGGGAAATGTCTACAGATACATGAAGAAGTTAGCTAAAATAATCGTCATAAAAGAATAAAAAGGCACATAAATATAGAATTTTTGCTGTAGAATTTAAATAAAACGAGAATTTTTATGCAGTACGATAAAAGTCAATGTCAACAGATAATTGTGAATTTTAAAAAAAATCCGTTATTTTACTCAGAATCGCTTTGGCACGGAAATACATGTACGGTTGTTTCAACCCCGTACAATGTAATTAATTCATTCTTTAAGTAGCAGTTTTATCTTCAGAAGTCCACATTATTTTATTAGTGAAAAGAATAAGCATAATTATTTACTATATAAGTAGATTAATTTATTTTTTAAGTACACGCGGTAACAAATACACGTTTGACGGCGATTAAAATCATGTTATTAAAATATCGATTTAAACATAGGTATGTGCAGAAAAAAATGTTATTATTAATTAATTTATTTATTTATTTATTTATTGTTTATCTCAGTAGCAGTTTTATCTTCTAAAGTCCACATTATTTTATTAGTTCAAAGAATAAGCATAATTATTTACTATACAAGATTAATTTATTTTTTAAGTACACGCGGTAACAAATACACGTTTGACGGCGATTAAAATCATGTTATTAAAATATCGATTTAAGCATACGTATGTGTAGAATTTTTTTTAATTATTTATTTATTTGTTTATCTATTTATTTCTCTTTTGTTTATCTATTGTGTATTTCTATTTATTTTTGACATTTGAATTATAGAATAAAAGAATAATTTTAATAGAAGGAAAAGACCGAAGGCATTTCGAATAAATCGTTCATCTTGCGTTCACCGTTCGTTCACCGTTCACTTTGCGCTCGCGTTCGCGCTCCGTTCGCGTTCTGCGTTCACTCACCGTTCACCGTTCACACATCGTTCACCAAGTTGCGTTCACCGTTCGCACATCGTTCACTCACCGTTCGCTCTGCGTTCGTTCAGCGTTCGTTCACCGTTCGTTCAGCGTTCGTTCACCGTTCAGGTGGGAAAGTAGAACGTTTCAGGGACTGTACTCGTCTACAGACAAATTCGTATATTTTTCAAGTGAGAGGGAATCGTCATTCATGGGCTTTTTAACACGTCCCAAAATATAGATATATATTGATAGAATTATTACAGGAATTTTTTTTTTATACTTTTGGTATATTTTATTTGTCTTACAATACCTAACTTTCAGATCAAGAATGTTACAGATTAGTAGAGATTCAGAAGAAGAAATCGGTTTTTGTTGTTACTACAGAAGATAATGGGTATGATATTTATTATTCCAACATCGCATTTGCTTTGTTAGTTAAACTGATTTGTTTATTGGTAATTTTAGAATGTGTAAATGATGTCCAAGAGGAGTAATTAAAAACGCAAATGAAATGAATACATTTATTTCGATTCCAGGTTGAAATTGACAACCGTAAAAATAAAAAAAAAAACACTATCGAAGATAGTGAAAACAATAACCACTAACGATATATATCTTTTGTTTAAGAATCTTTCTCGACAATATTTGCTTAAATCTGTATTATTGATTTCTTTTTCAGCATCAGACAGGATGTACCAAACAATGGAACAGAAACCATCATTATTGTGTCAATACTTTGCACTATTGCTGCTCTGTTATCAATGCTTGCGGTGATATTGTACAGAAGACAACGTGGTATGTATTCACTTAAAAGCTGCAATTGCTTTCATTTTTCCACTTATTGATTTCAAATTGTTTTGATGCCAGTTGCAACATGTATTTTATAAAAATATTTTACTTTTTTTATTTGATATATTCGTTGGTCACAAATTAAAATAAAGAAAGTATATTTTAGAAAGAAGATCAAACAATGTGAGGACTCATGATGAGGAAATTGAAGATGATGACCTGATGATATCTGAAACAAATAATATATGATATTTACTTTAGATCTCTCTCTCTCTTTCATATTTATGTGATATTTGCTTCCAAATATTTCCCTACTTTTAATGACACGTTTTTTCTGTATAAAACTATTGTTCATCAATCTACAATACAATATTCCAAATGTATATTTTCATGCTGTTATTCAAATTAATTATGAATGTAAAAAAATATTTCAAAAGAATTATCAGCATGCAGTATCAGCAAAAAACTCTAAACACAGAAAAAGATAAATATTAACATAAAATATTTCTAAACAATAAAAAGTTGATTGATGAGTTCTTATAAACGCATAGTCAATTGAATGATCACTTGATATTAGATTTGTTCGACTTTTCATCAAATGGTTTTTGATTGGTTATTTTTATTTTTGCTGTTTGGACAAATTAGCTTTTTTCCCTGATAGTTTGATTAGGTTATTTGCAATTTTAGGAGGGGGTTGGGTAATAGTGTTTAATTTCTTGGTACATGTCAAATATAGTGTTTTTCAATTAAAGACGGAAATCATTTCTTCCTTAAAAATGTACAAAAGTGTTTTAGCCATACGAGTATGTTTATATCAACAAATGATATTATTTCCAAGTAAAGTTTAAAATATGATACTGTGTATTATATATTGTTTAATTTTTGCAATCGAAATTCGGCATGCAAACACGTTTCGTAGATGTAATGGCCAAGGGAGAGTATCGTAAATGTTAAAAGACTATTTTTTGCATATAAATTTTGAAAAAAAACATATGGAAGTGGATACGCGGAGCACGAAATAAATATTATTTTTTAATTTCTTAGTTTTAATTACCTTAAATTTTGTATTATGGTTAAAGAAAGAGTTTTTCGAAGTAAAATTCTTGACAAAAAAAAATAAGGAAGGAAGTATATACAGTCAAACCTGTTTTAAGAGGCCACCTTTGGGAAGTCTGGAAACTGACCACTTAAGACAGGTGGCCTCTTATTCCAGTTTGCCCTCGAAATAGCGAGTCGGTCAATAATCATCATTAAGCACTACACTTAAATTAATTAATCAGAAAATTAAACAGGTAAATATTTTGAGGTGTATATATCTTAATTTATGCTAAAAAAAATGAATTAAATAATTCCAAATTGTTACTTGGTTCGTGCATGTTTCTGTTCCTACATATCAGTTAAACGTCATGATTTTTTACACTCTTTTAATAAGAATTTGAAGATTGAAATACATGTGCTTTACTATTATCTCTTTTTTTTGTTTAAAAAAATAACACACATTTAAATAAAAAGACAGTTTCGTTGTAAATAAAATAAAGTCTAGAAATCCATTTAAGTTAGTTCAAGTAATGTTCAGCAGCGTAACCCCCTCCATTCAATTAATTGGCGATTACCTTACTTGCTGGAGTTTTTAAAGTCTGGTCTTTGTTTTTATATAAAGCTGTCAGAATTTTTATGTAATATAGATAGACACACAAATAAGATTAACCAGTTGACCACAGAGGTGTATTTACGCAGTTGAAAATCATTCTACAGCACAGGTGTCCTGTGCAGTAGAGCGTAACTAATCCCTATCCATCGTCTCTTGATAGTGAAATTCACGAGATAATCATGCACCTTGTTTTCACAAGAATAGCAATTAGGGTTTCTACATGGAATCAAAATTTAAAAGGTGTGAAAATATCGATAGCCCTTTATTAGGTCACATACTCTCAGAAAATATTTAAGGTAATGATGAATTAATATTGAAAAGTACAAAATCTAGTAGAAGTATTAGCTTTAAGATTGAATTTCTTTAGCTCTGGAAAAATATTAATTGTAATTCAATTCTTTTGAACTTTCATCTTAAATTTTTCATTAACACAAACAAAGTTCAGCGTATCTAGAAGTTATTTGTTTAATTGCTTTAATAGGTCAAATTGACTATCGAGCATATAATTACCCAAGCGAATGTGTTAAAAAGACGTGATAGAATTGCAACAAGTGACGAAAATGCCGCTTGTTTCAATGTCCATAAGGCTGTGGGTAATGATTTCAGTGGCCGCTGGCCGCGTTACACAGGTGGCCGTTTATTCCAGTTAAAATATATAGTAAAAGTCGTCGAGGGGAACTGAAAGTGGCCGCTGACCGCGAGTGGCCTTTGATTACGGATGGCCGCTAAGACAAGTTCGACTGTATATAGGTACACCAAATTCATATTCTTCAATTACTAATTTTTTATTACTGCAGTTTTTGTACGACGATGAAAGGACTTGTTTTTGGTAAATAGATTTCAAGAAAATTTTGAAGGAGTTATAAATGCAATAAATTAATATTTTTAATTACTTTAATATTTATCATGTTTAATTATTATTTTGATTTCTTCCTTGTTACCTTTTTTTCAATTTTATAAAGTTTCTCCTTTCAAAATTCATTTTGTAATTTTGAGCAGTTTTTAAAGTTATCCTCATTCGAAAGTCTTTAAACACGTTAAATTAAAAAAAAAAGAGGACATAAAAGGGGTGGACAATCTCCTGCTCTGAGACAATATGTTTTTCTAAAATCATGTCCTCAGTAATGTCATCTTCAAAACATTTTATTATTTTATTTTACTGAACAACTTATCATTTGAATGAATGGGTCAAGTCTGGGGCTGGGTATTGGACTGAGATTTCGTATTGCGATATATTGCGATATTTTTAACTGTATTGCGATATGTATTGCAATATTTTATATGTAATTTAAATGGCATTTTCTTACTATATTTACTTTAATTTACATGCAGAATGTACATAACTATGATAAGTAACCAACACGGAAAAAATCGTTGATTTTATTTAAGTTATGCTCTGAAATGTTCCCACAAACAACTTCTGACTTACAGTTTGGTTTAATAACAAACTTTTTTAAGTCCATTTTCATATTTAATGACAAAATTCCTTAATCTAAGCATATTGCCAATATATCGATATTACAAAATCGTATTGCGATACGATATTTTTTGTCATTGTATTGCAATATATTGAAATATCGATATTATTGCCCAGCCCTAGTCAAGTCTTCTTTCTTCGTTAACGCTTAAATGATGGAAACGTAAATGTGAAATCTATTTCATTTGTCCTAAAAATGACATTTATATGAAAAACGAACATTTCTAAAAAAAAAAAAAATACTCTTCAACAAACCAATTCATTTAAATCACACTGACAGACGTCGATAATGCATATACTTCGTAACGTAGTGGTAAACACGGTGGGTCTTGCGCCAAACCCTGCGCTATGGAGCGTTCGAATCAAAAAAGAAGCTTTTTCTTTTGTTTTTGTTTTTGTTTTTTTTTTTCAAGTATATTAAAAGCATCAGTGAAAAATAAATTTAGTAAAATATTAAGGTAATTAAACACAGAATTAAATGTTTAAAAGATGATATAAATCATATACTTTTGAGAAATATAGCTTTCATGAACCTTTAGAATTGAATATTGTCTTTTCTCAGAGCGGAGGATTGTCCTCACCATGTACACATCCATTCTTTCTGAGTTCCCAGCAAAGGTCATTCAGGTTCAAAAAGCTACCGTTACCGTGGAAACCTGCAAAAAGCGACGAATTTTTTCCGCGAGTGTTCTCTCTGGTCCCTTGAGCATTCGTCATGAAACTTTTTTTTATTTTAGTGATAAGTAATTGTAGTTGTGCGATTCGCATTTAAAATTTTCAAATAATCCATTATTGCCATGGAAACCAGGGGAAAGTGAAAACTTTAACTTTGATTTTTAAATCAAAGTACTGAAAGGACTGATACGAAGTGATGGTTGTCCAAGCTTAGCTAATGGGTATTGTATTAGTGATACAAAAAATGAAAGTCTTGTCCAATTCGGCACGACATACGCTATTGCTTGCAATAGCAGACTTTCTAGTTATGATTAAACTTCTACTGAGACACATGCTGGGGTTCAAATTTTGCATCTCAGAATTTAAAACTGATAACCTTCGTAGAGTAGAATAAAAAACAATCATGTGCTATTTCCTTTACTTTAAGGCAGCAAAAGTTGTTAATTTGTCGATGCTATTATTATTGAATTGAACTGTCTCACTATGTTTAAGAAAATGACCTAATTCAGCATCCATAATATACTAAAGAAGTAAATATCATGAAATCGAAAAATTTTTACTAAACAGGGTTTTTGCATCCATAGTAAACAGAGTCTAAGGAAGATTTTCAATGAGATTATCTTACGATCATATTGTTCCAATCTTATCCTTACGTAATGTAACATCATCAATAATTTAGTTTCCAGAACAACTATTGTGTCATTTTTGCAAATGATATTACTGGACCAGAATACTTATACTAACTTTAATAATCCTTTTCAGAAACGGTATAAGAAACACTAGGTAACTGTTCACCCAACATTATGCCCCTAACGTATATGCGTATTCTACAATGCATCTCTTGGTTCAATATATTGCCAATTTACTCCCTTCCTTCCACTTACCGATAAATAAAGAACTCACTCGCCAGCGCTGGTCCAATGTATAGTTTCCGGCTTAATCAAAAACTCTCTTTATGGATGCTTTACAAACATTCGACAAAAGATGGGACAACAACACAAACTTTACAAAGGAATATTTTGAAGAAAAGTTGGCTAATGTTCGACTAACGTTTGGACAAGTTAGAATACTAATGTTGTCGTGTATTAAATAGAGGATTGACCTGGTAATTTTTGTCTGAGACAGAGGTCGTCTACTCGACTACAACAATTCGCCAAGCACAACCATTTACTTACGTTGACCCAACATAGTCTTTCTTTCTTGGATATGTTCTTAGTATATGTAGGAATAATTGAGCTTTATGATACATTTTTCATGTTTATATGTTCATTGTATAGAGGCTGTTGCGACGGGTACCAGTTCTCTGCAGAGATCAATGATTGTATAAGTAAGTATTTTTTTTTACTCTAATGTATTAAAAATTAGTTTCAAAGTAAGTGCAAGTGCACATTAATGTACTTCAATTTCATCACTTTTAGTATTTAAATCTTAGCAAAATATTTTGTGTTGTGTTATCCGAGGACTTTGTTTTCATCACAGAGTGTGCTGACGGTTATATAGGACCTAATTGTGTGGTTCCTTGTCCATTCCCTGCATACGGATTCCTTTGTCAGAAGGAATGTGAATGTAATGAATATTACTGCAATGTGACAAGTGGGTACCCTTTAGATTGTACAGACTTCAGAGACTGTTCATTTTTTACAATAGGTAAATGGTTGAAAGTCTTTGGCCAACCTACATTTCGATGTTTTGCAAGTGGTATACAGTACAGAGAATTCATTTTGATAAAAAAGGCATCAGCCCATAAAAAATATCAGTGTCCAGCAAGCATAAAAGAAATGGATTAACAGATTCAGCATTACCATTGAATGCTAAATTTTAATAACTATTTCGATTTCTTCTGCAAGCTTGTTGATAATTCCCATTGCACAACTTGCATTGATCTAGGTTTGAAAAAGCAATGATTTAGCATCAGAATAATATTTATAACAGATAGGATTATTAGTATTTAATCAACAAGCACATAGCGCATTTAAATCAGGAAACAAGTGTTAATTTCAATACGATTTGCTGTATTAAAAAAAATGTTC